TTAGCAGCTTCCCCCCCCTCTTTTTTTGCTTCCTAATGACGATCGCTTGTGTTGTGTTGTGATCGAAACAGTCGTAGTTTAAAAAAAAATATTTGAACCTATCTCCGTGACTTTACCGAAAGACCCAAAGAATAGGTGTTTTTCAGTCACCTTCACCCAAAAGCCCACTTTTCTTAATGCTCAAAATGTGCATTGTTATACTTTGGCACGTTTTCAAATACCCCTCAAGTCTCGCCCTCCTCCCAAGCATTTACCAGGAAATGTTCTACTTTTCCAGTCGAGGACCACGATCCTGACCGTTATGTTCAAGGGTACTACAAGGCAGCTAATTGATCCTATTATTAATTACGTGGATAGGGCGATTATTTACCACAGATAACAGGCTCTACCTACTATAATCACCCAGGAATGTATGTCCTTAACGCTCGTGACGTCCCTTCACATCGACCAGCCCCCCTCATTAATAATCATGAATAGGTTACGTACTCCAAATTAACCCGCCCCTCATTAATAATCATGAGGGGGTGACGTCACTCCCCATGGATAACCCCCCCCCCTTATTAATAATCATGAGCAGGTGACGTCACTCCACATCGCACAGCCCCCCTCATTAATAATCATGAACAGGTGACATCCTCCAAACGTACACCACCCCTCCATTAATATTAGAGTGTGACGTCACCACATGGGGGGGCGAGGCGCCTTCTCCCCCCCTCCTCAGTGTCAAATTATAACCTTCACTACAAAGGCAGAACCCTCATGTCATGCGAATCTCTGTAACGCTATGAGACATAAAAGTAAAAAGGACGTCTTGATGAACAAGGGATTATAACCTTTAAATGAAATAAGTCTGTGTCACTACGGCCTTACAAATTGCACACGAATGGATGCAATGAATATCACGTTGCGGTCTGCTTTTCGCTAACGCTATTGAGACATCAAAGTAAAAAGGACGTCTTGATGAACAAGGGATTATAACCTTTAAATGAAATAAGTCTGTGTCACTACGGCCTTACAAATTGCACACGAATGGATGCAATGAATATCACGTTGCGGTTTGCTTTTCGCTTGCAAGTTTAAAATTTACTGCAATACACCCATCCTTGGACGGGCAAAAGGCTAGTTTCTAATAGTTACCCCCGCATTACTTTGCATAAGAGGAGTGTACTTTACTCCCCACTCATCTGCCCGGAGCGGGGGTTCAGCCAACACCGCTCCGTGACGAGGAGAGAGACCCTATTCAGCCGATCCTTACTCTGGCTCCCCACAACGACCACGCCTCCGTCACGGGGTCCCCCTTAAGAACCCCTTGGGCGGCTCCTCCCCCCAGCTCGGCTCCGTCCATGTTCCCAAAAGTGCTCTCCGAAAGCCCCATTCATAACCCGTGACGTTACGTCATTCTTGACTTTCAACCCGCTCACACCTCCTTCTGTTCACCCCCTCATTGGTTACTCACAATACTTCTCTATACTAGTAACGAATTGGCGTGTTCTGTTTACGTGACAAACCTTACTAATTGGCTGTGTTGGGTGGTGGTGGGTTTTTACAACCCAGAATGTGTCCGATCTCATCAGATGTCTGTGGTTTAGCAGGATTGAGCCTGGATAAGCAATGGGCTAGCTGGGCAACCACCATGCACAACAGGTGTTATAAACAGATGGGTAAATGCTTGTGGGCAGCAGGATGCAGTGCAGCCAAATCTCGCGTTGTACCGCACTCGTACGCTGCCACGTTTATGCTCCTCGACCTTCATCAGCCCCCCCCCCCCGTGAGGTACAGTCAAACAAGCCCTACAGGCTCGCACGACATGGGGAGGGGGGGGGCTCATTCAGCCAGTGGCTTAGTGTTTGCTGAGGCACGGGAGGTGAAGGGGCAGGTACACACCCCGCAGCTCACGTCAACTCGTGCACATTCCAAACAACCCACACCCTTCACCTGACACTGTAAAACCCAGAGGGGAGAGGCGGGAGAGCCACACTCGTTTCCTCACCAAACCGGAATTTCACGGCTTTGCGTCACGCTGCACACGAGTGCAGCGATAAATGCGACATCAATGAGCAGCAACCTCCATCTTCAGCAGGGAGGCGTTTGACTTTTTTATGGCTATACAGCGTTGCGAGCAAAGTGGCAAAACCCGCATGCAGTAAATCACGACATACTATGTAAATTACAATACAAATTTGGAGGTTTGTCATGTCTACGAGAAGAGAGGGCATATTTATTTGTGAGACAGAAAGTGTTTGGTTGGTGATTGGCTGAGGTGAAAAGCAAGGTCTGGACCCTGGATTTGAACAGAGGATTGGAGTCAACAGCATGGATTGCTGGAGGAAGGGAGGTTACAAGACTTGAGGGCAACAAAGGGAGGAATGAGTGAACTACTGAGCGAAGGTTGACTGGGGGCTCGTTCACTCCTTGGCTGCTGGTGTGGTGAGTTCGTGGAGGAGGGGAGCACAACGAAAGGAGAGGTTTACGAGCACGGTTGAGTGACGAACGGGACAGCCACCACTGAACTCTCACAAAGTCGCACTCATTTTAATGACCGTGTAGAAAATTATGAACCGACTGGCATTTGAACTTGCAATGTATGTGTGTTGAACTTATTTGGCACCGTACATAGCCAACCGTGCTAATCGGAGGTGTGGGGGAAGGACAACAAACTAAACTTTAAAAGCAGTTTAAATAAATTAGTTTTCAATCTAGACTTAAAGTGGAGGGTTTAGTCTAGACTTAAAATTGCATAGCTCCAGTGGTCTCCTAATATCGGAAGGAAGAACGTTCCAGATGGCCGCAGAAGCGCATCTGAAAGCGCGATGTCAGTGACTGTCTTTGTCCGATGGCCAGCCAAAAGCCACTGTGACGAGGATAACCGATTCCAAAGTGCAAGTAAGCGCCCTAACCAAAGCACAACGTAGTGCAATATGTCCATAGCTAACAGTGAACACATTATCAACAACTATTGATCTAGGGACGTGTCAAACGCGGCCCGGTCGTCCCCCCCCCCCCCCCCAAGGTTTCTGTGACAATGCGTGGCTACTTCCTCAGTGTCTTTGCACACGTGAGAGTTACGTGGGTGGCTCTGAGATCAAGAGCGTCTAAGCTGGAAATGCTTAAAACATGTTTTGTCGAAAAGAGGAAGCCGCCTACCAGCCAATAAACTAAATTCTCAAGCGGAGGGAGTTGTCTCAGTCTAGTCATCGATGAGTGGCAGGGCAGGTGGGAAAGTCTTGCCCCCCCACCTCCCTTCTCCCCACTACAGTGTGGACCAGATTATACTTTCAAAGGTAGCTCTGGTTATAGCTGCATCGGTGGGCCATTCTCTAACGAGGGTTTGCGTTGCTCAATGAGGATTCCCAAGAAGTATTCTTTAATTCCCCAATATACCACCGACAGCGCAATCTGACATTTTTTGTAAAAAAAAACAGATTTTCACTTTTATTAGCGCTCAAAACTAGAAAATAATTATTTTGACCCTAGAATTAATCAAATCTGATGTGCTCAATGAAAGTGTGTGGCTCGCAAAAAGAAAATTATACACATCGAAAGGAAGACCACCCACTTTTATTGAGCACATGAAATTTGATTATTTCCGGGGTCAAAATAATTTATTTTATACTTTTGAGTGCACATAAAAGTGTGCGCATTGAAAATCTTGTTTTTTACCAATTTTTGTGTGTACTTGTTGCTCTCGCACAAAGAAACAAGCAAGCCACAGCGGCCACTCTGGCGCCATGACGAGTGGCGATAGAAGCGCTCCTTTCATTGGTTACAGGCTGGCCAGCAACAGCCGCTGTGATTGGACTAGACGTTTGCTGCCTTAGGTGTGGGCGCGACCATACGTGATTTTTAAAAGTTGGGGTGGAATGTTCAATTATTGATTAAAATGTAGTTAAAAACACGAATAGGACCACGATGGGCGGGACCTGGACCGTTTTTTTTTATCAAATGTTTAATTGTCAAGCGAGGCGGCAAGTCTGTGTAGAAATTTCAGCTCTTTAAGGCTTCGTAGATCCGAAGATATTAAGCGTCAAAGATTCCAAAGAATAGAAACGGACAACACGGCAAGTTCAATAAAGTGTGTAATAGTAAAAAAAACTGTGGGGGGAAAATATATATAATTCTATTGTTCTTAAGAGGGATTTTAGTCATCTCGTGAAGCCACCCCAACCCGACTCCTACAGTCTCCCCTCCCCGCACCACTACCACTGCTGTACGCACTCCCCCAAAGACAAAGATCCCCTGTGTAGCCTTAACAAACTGTTGGGGTAAGTGCTGTTGGCGAGTAGGACCTATGAAGGTCCGCACGGCACATGACGGGGTGGGTGGCCAGCACCACGCCTGGTCGAACGGCCGGCCGCCTTTGTCTCCCCAATGGAAATGTTTACACACCACACCAGGCACTCATTTGAGGCTGAGTCGACCTAGGGGAGGCCCATGACTAGTTCAAATAATCGTCACTGATGTTGGCCGTGAGTCGGCAGGCATCGAACTCGGATCGCAGGGTTCGTAGCGCAGCGCACTAACCGTTATGCTACCGCTCCCCATGCACTTTCTCACCCCTTCCACAATCCCCAAAACTACCAAAACCAGCTCAACACCGCGTCTGGGGGAGGAAACAGGGCCTGAACCGAAAGAGGTGGAGCCTACAGAAGAAGAGGTTGGGGCCTACAGAAGAAGGGGTGAGGCCTACAAAGGAAAGGCGCAGAGCCGGAAGAGGAAGAGATGGGGGCCCCATGTCAGAAATGGTTGGGGCCTAAGAAGTAAGGGGGTGGGGCATAAACAGGATGGGCCGGGTCTTACAGAGGTTGCATTTCACTGTTGATTTAAAATAATTAAAGCATGTAAAAAAGCATATAATAAAATACGTGCAGCAGGCAGCATACTTCTCGTGATGCAGATGTGGCCCACAGGCCAACTAGTATATATTTTTATTTCTTGCATTTGAAAAGGAGACCCAAGTGGTCAGATAAAACGCGGCGCCTTTCCAATCAAAGATAACTCACATTGGTTGGTCTGTATCGCCAGTCCTTCCTGCTGCACCGGCTGTTGTGGTTGAAGCTGCTGTTGCTGTTGCTCTTCACTGCACCTGTGCCCAAATCGGATGACCCTGGTGGGAATGGTGCTTCCCTCGTTGCCCACGGATCCTTCCATGGCACCAAGACGATGCACTGACAGTGACAGCTCGCGGCTCAGGCCGCTGAACAGCATGACCAGCACATCCACGAGGCTGCTCAGCACAGCGTCCACACCCTGGAATGCCTCCATAGATGGTGTCCCAGCGTCGTGGGGCTCGGCACCCTGCAGGGCCTTCACCACCTGCCGCAGCACGGCGTAGAAGCCGAAGGGCAGGCGATCGCGCGCCGCGGCCAGCAGCTCGGCCCGCACGAGTCCATCCCCGACGCAGGCGCGCAGGACCCCGTAGTCCCGGATGCCCAGCTCAGAGTCCATGGCCCGGGCCACCTCCGCGTTCACGCCCTGTGCCTCCAGCCATGCTGGGAAGTCCCTACTCGCCTCCAGCACCGGGGTGGACACCGTGCAAGCCATTCCGCCGCCCGCCCCCCCCACCCCAGTGGAAGTTTTCAGTAGAAGTTTGAACCCTTTTCGACTTTGCCAATGTCCCACACGACCAAAGCTGAAATTGAAGTGCAGAACAACAACACATTAATTGAGAATGCTTCTTACAAACATCACAGTAAGACAAGTTGCCCATGCTACAAGCATGACACGTGCAACAGTGTTCATCATTGCGTCCTGAAAAAAGACCAGCAGACATTGGCTGTGTTGCAAAATGTGTAGGAAACGCTCCTGACCATACCAACATCACTCACCTGGGCTGCACAGGAACACTCGCCTGTGTGACAAACAGACACAAATCACACATACACACTCGTACTCAAGACTAACCACATACACACACACACTTGTGTCACTAATTCACATGAACCACTAACTCGGGTAGTTTTTCCTCTTTACAAGAAGGGATCGAGCTTATTGTAACAATAACCAGGGCATCTCCCCTCAAGTGTGCCGGAAGAGGTCCCGGCAAGGATTATGCAACATTGTGGTTTCGGGCAGGGGCGGTCCAAGACAATTTGCAATATTCTCCCTGTGTTATAACTAGCAACAGGAACACACGCTATTTGCCACCAAGTGGCAGTGATGTCATTACAGCACTTGTGCCAGGCTAGGTGCACTTTGAGGCCACGTGAAGTCAGAATCAGAAAATATATTTGTACTGGAAGAATCAGACGAGCTATAAAGCTCTTCTGTCACAGATGTCCAGTGTAAGTGTAGGTCTCTTCTTCCTTCTCCTCGAGGCTTGTGTGTGTGCGGGTGGCATGTGTCACGCACACACTCAGTCGGAGACAAGGTAGTCGTGGGAGGCACCGTCCTTCCCTTTTATTGTGCTTACGCCACCAACTTCGGCCCCCTCTCTCACGACCACGCTGCCGTACGACCCGGCCCAGACACGACCCTGTCCGCGTTGCACTGACGGCGTCGACCGAAACAGCCAACTACTGTCCGGCCGTGCAATGATCGGGTGAAGGCGGCAGCGACAAAGGCAACGACAACAACGAAGACAAGACGAGTCCACTCCCAGAACCGGCAGCCCAGAGCTCTTGCTCTCCGCTGCTCATATTCCCCTCGGCGTGGTCTGGCTCCGCTCTAGCCGCGCCTCCCTTCTCGAACCCACCAGAGGGTTCCAGGGGCCTCCCCATGAGGTCTACCGTGACCCTTGCTCCAGTTACTCTGCCCTGCCGGCACATCCGTGTATATGCTCAACGGCGTGTGCGCCAAGTGTCTACCTGCAGTTGCAGCTGCTGTACAAGTCAGCACTGTGTCACTACATAAGTATTGAAGTCTCAGGTGTCACGAGTAAAATGTCCTAGATGCACCACCACCTGCGCACCCCAATTTTTCTACCTTGCCATGTTTTATTCACCAGATCCTCTGCTGGAGGGCATCTGCCTCCAATTTCCCAGCAGCATCTTTTTATAAGCCTTATCCACACAAGGTCAACCTTGACATCGCTGGTACCAGTCAATGGTAAGTCCACACATCTCCAGGTCAATGGGCACCACATCAGCCCATCTTCCTTTCTAGCCCATACTGTCAACTTAGCCCCCCCCACCCCCTCTATCTGGTGAAACAAAAAGCTATTTGGGAATGCTATTGCTGGGCAAGTAAGCTACCTGAATCAGCCACAACACGGCTCCATGGTATGTCCTCTGGTAAAATGGCGTTCTGGCATGTTCACCACTCATTGCAGAGATGCACGGTTCGAATCCACCAACCGCCCTGATTAATTTAATATCCATTTTTAACAAACACCTTCTACTTCAAAGTGGACATCAAAGATACAGTCGTATCAGTTGGCAAGAGCAGACCATTTGTGTTCCGAGGTCATAGTGCAAGTTTGCAAAATTTGATAAATTATCCGCAAAATACTAATTGGGTTTATAAATCGCAATCATCACTGCCGACAGAGAAAACTTGGCAAAACTCTCCTAAAAAAAGTCATGAGGCTCGCCTGGGTAAACACATATGATAATTGTAATAACACATCCTCTTCTGCCGGAGCTCACTCATGGGACAACGTCCATATCTTTAAAAGATCGACAAAAGGCTTCGCACAATGTACTCCAGATGAACCCAGGATGGACTGTGGGAAGGCAGGCAGGAATGTTGTGTTTATGTAAAGGGGTCAGTGTTTCATAAGCGTAGGGATGGATAGGGTACGATTGTGGCCAAAAAGACCCAGCAGTTTGTGTGGAGTGACAAGACCACAATGTTCCGCAACTGATAAAAATATCACTTCACTGATTCAGTGAGAGTTCTGCTGCCAAACCACAGCTGGTTATGAGCACTGTCTGTGTATGGAAACTTCTTTACCTTCTACACCACCTCACCACTCAAAGAGTGGGGCTGATAGTAAGGCGCTGCATCTTTGTGGCGAGCTCCAGCTTCAGCAGCAGAGTCTCCAACACATTCTCAGCAAGTCCCAACTCATCGGCATACTTAACATGGTTGACCAGCAGGGAGCCATCCCTAGACTTCACCTGAGGCATTGATCAGCCTGCCACCGTGTCTGTACCAGATGGAAGTTCCACCGGCACAGGCATGGTAAGCTTGTTAAACTATACGGTCAGAAAATGTGTTAAATAGTAGAAGGGCCAGAGGACGTTTCTGTCACAACCCAGAGTGAGGAGGGAAGAGCTGTAAACTGCCAGCCATTTAAGCTTGACCCAGACCAGCCCACCATCATGAATCATGAAGATCCTTAATGATCAGGGACCTGACAAGCATGAAGAATCCAAAGGTCAAGCTGTAGGCCCTGTTGAACTTCCCTACCACTCTGCTGTAGAGCACGTGGACAGAGAATTTGGCACTCATGCAGGTCCAACCCTCTGTGAAAAAACACACAATGAGGCCCCGCAAAGCTTCTCTACAGTCTGCCTCGCAAGATGATGCTGGGTGACACTTAGCAAGACTTTCCCTGACATACTTAAGCAGGGCGATATCCTTATAACTGTTACAAAAAGCACGTGTTCCCCTTCGTATACATGGGGCACAACCACATCATCCTCTCAATCCTGCAGAACTCAGCCAGTTGTCCAATAATTTACAGGAATATTAAGGTAAAGCAGACTGCACACAATCACCACCTTCCCCTAGACCAGTGCTTGGGAGACATTACTGTCCAGTGATTTACTGTATGTGGTTTCAGGCTCTCGATTGCTCTTCACTCCTCTTCAGTAGATGGCACATCAAGCGAGTAACTCGTGAGCTGATGTTGGCTAGCTGCTCCAACCTTTATGGCTCCACAACCATCAGTCAGGCCACCCTTGTCCCAATGTTATTTGGGGTTCTTCTCCCCCCACCCTCCGCCCAAAGACCTCAAATATGTTTCGAAAGTCTGCACACCTACTCCGGCGGGAATCCTGAAGCTCAGCCACATTTCCTCTTGGTATCAGATGCCAATCCCAACTGTAAGCGTTGTTCAAATTCTCACTTGCAATTTACAGAAGCTGAGACCACGGTATCTTGGAGTTTAGATGGGATTCAGGGTGGGATGCGCACCGCCACAGTAAAATAATGGCGGCAAGCTGATGATGGTCAATTGTCAGATCAGCTCAATGGTATAGGTCCTGGTGTCAAGGACATGGCTACACATTCACCGTTCCGCCACTACATAGTCCAGCAGATGTTCTTGCTCGGACACGGCATGGATCCAATGTGTGACTGTGCTAATGATGGAACCATGTTAGGGAATTACAAGTCCATGGGTTGCAGAATAATCTAGCAACCTCCTGCAAGTATTTTTGAGTTTATCTGGCCCATGCCTTCCAATAACTCCTGCCCAAGTACAAGCATTGTTATCCATTTGGGCACACCTACTAAGATTGTTGTATTTTGTCTTGTGGAACCAATTTAGTCAATATCGAGGAAAGGTCAAAGAAGGCATCCAACTCATCAGCCTTGCCTGCATCCAATGACAGATGTTCGTCTTCAGTGAGGGCAAAGGCCACCAACTACCAGCATTGCTCGCTTCGTGCTGATAGATGGGAAGGTGAGCACAAAATCTCTGGGGGTTCACGGCCTCCCGCAACCCACCACTATACTCCCAGGCCCCTTGATTGTAAGAGCCCTCACTGTTGTTGGCTCTTGAGTAGACAGAGGACTGTCTACCTCTTGTGGTGACAGTAGCTGCAACAAGTCAAATGCACTTCCTAGAGTCCACACAGATCCAGGCAATACCAGAGTAACGGAAGCCTCTCCTCCCCAGCAAGGGTTCGGACATACCCACGTGGGCAGCCGTAGCAATTATCTTTTTATTTCTGGAAGCTTCTTGAAGGGGGAGCGCGTCAGCCCCCTTGATCCACCAAAAAGGGAGTTTCACCAGGAGACTTTAGGGACACCTGCACCCTCGGGGCCTCTGGAACACATGCTTGGGGTTTTCACCTCATGGTCCTTTGGCAAACAATTTTAAGGGCGTGGGTATACCAGCCACTTGCACTTGTCCACAACACACTAACCGATACAAGGACAATTACCCCCCAGAGTAGCATACATAGACTGTTTGGAGAAAGTGCTGTTAGAGAGCACCGATTTAGGCTGGGAGAGTGCACAAAGGGGTGGGGGGTGTAGTCAACACTATGATCAGGCTGTCTTTCCCCCCACCCCCCAGTGCCGATGTTTACGCACTGCACTCCGTACTCGTTTAAGCAGAGTCAACCCAGGGGAAGGCCAAGAACTGGTTAGATATCATGGCTGATGTTGGCCATGAGCAGGAATCGAACTCAGGCCTCCAGGTTCGTAGCGCAGTGTACTAACCGCTACCACAAACTCCAAGAGACATATACTGTACATACTGAACATGCACTCATTACTAACCCCGACAACACCACACACACATGCCTTACTTGCGTCAGCAAGTCAACAAACACACAGCAGACATCATGCTTCTGTTGCATCGTCACTTACAGTGCGAAGCGTGCGTCGCCAGTCACTGAAACTTGACACTTGGAAATGCGGTATCCTGTCCAGTGGACGCTGGCACCCTGCCTAGCTGGCACTCGGTCATTCCTAGCAAAGCATTGATAATTTTAAAAAATTACACCAACAAGGGGT